TGTCTTGGGGAGATCAACTTAAATTCTGCCTGTTGGGGCACACACATCTCAGTTCCCAAAGGCTTGTTCTCACACAGCCAGACATGGTTCAGTGGTTTGGCTCAGGGTTTGACTTGGGGAAGGCCACCAGAAGGAGGGAATTTGTCCACATCCTTCTCTGCCAGCAGAGCAGGGCACCCATGGTTCTGCTCTTATCTCACAAGAAAATTAAACCCTGCATATTTGCCAGATATAGAACACTTCGCCAAAATGGCTCCTAAAAGCATTCACTGACAGAATTAGTGCCCAGGGGCATCTGGAGTAGGGCAGAAACCCCAGGACTTGGCACCTGAGTCATCTGAAGTAGGAGCTGCTGAGGGTGGAGTTCAAGCCTCTGTGCTACAGACAGTGCTGAGGGGTGACAGGGGATGGCAACCCTGCCAGGAGGTCCCTGTTCCTCAGGTGGATGCAGAGGACTTCTCTGCTCCCCGGAGGCACCAACGCCAGGTGCAGAGGGATGCCTTGCTGAGTTTGCAGCCCTGATCCAAACATGTGGGAGAGTGGGTGAAAAGAACTGCCATGAAACCCACTGAGAACAGCATCAGGGTTTCCCGGGAAGCCCTTCTCTTTTACTGATTCACCATCATTTTTAAATGCAGGTTTTGCGCTTGCTTTGGAGTCTAATTAAGGCCCCAATCAGTTTACATGATGAAAAACTTTCCCAACAGCAGCATATCAAACACGCAGAAGCAACAGTTCTGCTCCTCTCAAAGCAAGCCCGACTCGCCTTTGCTCGTGTGAGGGCACCATGCTGAGTAAAAAGGAAAAATCACGTTCTTCATCAGCACTTCACAGTGAAATTTAAGTTGTCAGTTCCTCATGGGAAATCCTGATGCAACACCCAGCCCGTCCCTGTGAAGCGGAGCTTGGTGAATGTTTAATTATGCCTCGGAACAAACACACATCGCTGCGTGGGGGCTGCGAGGAGCCATCTGAGCCTGCATGCTAAGCTGCTCTGTCCCAGAAGCAGTTCCTTCAATAGCATTTGCTTATCAAAAATAATTAGAGGTCGGAATGCTGGAACTGCGATTATGAAACAAATGGTAAATCTATTTGCTGAGATGAAATGTATTGAAAGATACATCGAGACACAGCTGGAGACTGAGGTGATACCACAAGGATAACAACTCGAGATCCAATTTCATCTTTCATGATTAAAAAATGAGCAAGAAAGTGTTTTATGAAAAGTGAAGGTTAACAAATGTTCCTTCACAAGCAATGACGACAGTTTATCTTTTGAAACAAATGATCAGGCTACGGTCTGCTCGCAGCTCCTGGAACACGTCAGAAAGATTTCTGCTGAAAACCCACTGAGGATCAGCACCCAGAGCTGGCAGCCCACCGTGCTCCCAGTGCCTGGGACAAAGCCAGCTCCAAAGGAACGCTGCCACAGCAGGGAAGGAGCTGGCACCACTCCTGTCCTGAGCCTCTGCCACAAATCCATCCCTAGCCCCAGTCCCTGCATGGCTCATCGGTACCTGCCCTCAGGAGGGGTGGCACAGGAGGGTCCCAGAGCTGAAAATTGACAACAAAATATTCCAGGAGCCCTCTGACTGAATTCCTCTGACTGTCCTCCAGGTAAAGTGCTCCCTTTATGGTACAACTACAGTGTGAAGCATGAGAAGTTATTTATAGGAATGAATTCTGCTAAAATTTGACTAGTAGGCCAAACACTGTGAGCTGTTTAACAAGGAAGAAAAAATGGGGATAGAGACTCTAAAACTACTAATGTGAATGAATTATATAATGATGGGGATGGTTAATTCTCCAAGAAGAAAAATTCAAATTATCAGGAGGGAACAGACAGTAGAGAAGATTGTGATGGCAACTTTATCTCCTTCTGTTAATAGAACTAATACTTAAAATTGAGAGAGAAAGAAATATTTTGTGTAGAAGCCAACAAAAGATGTTTTAAAGTAAAAAACTGCTTTATATTTCTATAAATATGGGGCTGCATAGCAATCCCCTTATTCCTACGCTGGGAGCCTGAAAGCCTGAAAGACCCCAGGAGTTCAGCAGAGCCCCTCAAAAAACCCCAGTATAAACCAAATTATTTGTAAGAAAACAAGCCTTGATAGCTGTAAACAGCTGCCTAAACAGCTGAAGGCTAATTAACAGTGCTATTACAGAGTTAATATTATTCCTTCCTAGCTGAGTCTTTGTTAAATTTCCCAAGATATGACAACTGGGATATGACCATGTTCTTCCCAACAAAAAACAGTCAAAGCTCTAACACCCTAAATTCAGATAAACGGAAAATATTTACTGTAAAGGCTACACAAGTCTCTACAGTTTAATATTTACAATCAACAATTTAACTTTACAGTTTAACCATGCAGAAATAGCAACAGACTTCCCCCCTGTCAGGCCAGGAACTATTCCACCCTCAAAAAGGGAGACAGAGTTGTTACAGGACACCTTTCAGGCACAGAATTTTGTTCCAGAGACCACATTTAACTGGTGCTGGGACAGAATCTGCATGGCCATGATCAAACACAAGTTCCAACTGTTGCCTTCCATGGTTCATGCCATGAATTGCCCTCTCTTCACAAAGCTGGGACACTTCCTGCAGTCTGCAATGGCTTCTTTTCCATCTCCAGCACAGGCTTCTGGTGTGCCCCAGAAAACTCACATCATCTAGGGGCCAGTGGGAAAATCACAGATTAAGCTCTTCCACCTCAAAGCAGCATTCATGGCAAAAACCAAAGAAAGAAAGAAAGAAAGAAAGAAAGTGCTCTACAACTCCAGTGATAAAAAAGGTCCTTCTAAACCTAACAGCATCAATACCGCTGTCCTTTGGCACTTTAACATGTCTGATTTGATGCCACACATTATTTTTGTTATGAAACTAGAATAAACCAAAATCAATACGGTGCTTATTAAATGGACAAAACATGGGGTAGCTCACAGGTCTCAAAAAGCAAATGTAAATTGGAAACAGTGTCCAGCTCAGTATTTCTAGCAGGGTTCTGCAACATATAGAATAAAGCTGAATATCTATCTTCAGGGTCAAATTAAAAAAAAAAAACAAAACAAAAATCACAAACACAACACTTTTTCAAGACCAGAAATGACAAAGTCAAGTGACAAATAATGAAGTGGAGGATGACAGATAGAGAAACCTGTATCAGTTGGCAAGCTGGGTGCAAACAAGATAAAGAAAAGATAATGTATAAACAAGATAAAGTATAAACAAATACTTCAGAAAATAATGCAGCTGCTCTTCCTGGAAAGAAAACTATTCCTGGAAGAAGGTCTCCTGAGAGATTTTGGGGGTCCTTGTGATAGTATCTAACGTGACCCAATTGTGATACTGTGATGAAAGGCTTCCTCAAAAAGGAAGATCAAGAACTGAAATATTCTTCACTGACACATCAGAATTATGTCCACAACACAGAAAGAGTATAGTTAAGCTGAAGAAGAACCAAAATGCTAATTTGGGGGTGGAAATCTCTGTGTTGAATTCAAACTTTCTGGAGCTCATTTTTTTTAGCTTAGCACAGACAGGGTTAAGGATGCTTTCAGAGCAAGTGACTTGTGACATTAGTAAATACTCAGATTTAAGGAAGGTACAAAAATTATTTCATTATATTGAAGACAGTTAACTCTTTCCTCTTCGCACCCTTTCCACTTTTCCAAAGGCTGCTTATCTTGTCTTTTCCACCTCAGACCTGTTCACCCTTACCCAAGCTCTTTCTTCTTCATTTAGATTTTGGGGACACACCCCACCTAACAGATGTGGAGCTGCAAGTGCTGCCTGTGTGGCAGAATTTCACCTGGGATATTTCACATGTGGCCTGAAGAGTTTCAGCTCTAAAACCCTCCTGTGGGCAGGATGCTCTCATGCACTGCTGGGCTGAAGGGCAAGGTGACAGCTCCCACATGGCAGCTGACAGACTCAGTCCTTCTGTTTGGCTCAGTGCTTAATCTCTTGCCTTTAGGAGGAGAAACTTGTTTGTTCAAGTTTACTAAGAAAATATTTACTGAAGATTTTCAGAAAAACGTTTCCCATTGAAACACACGAAGCATCTGAGCACTGACACTAATCTAGGCAGCCCCTGAACACTGCAAGGTTAGAAGGCATTTTACCTCCCTATCTTACAACAGTGTGTTCGGTTTGTTTTGCTTCAGATGTTTTGCTGGTTGAGCTTGCCTGGGAAATGCTATCAGTGCTTGAGGAAAAATAAAAGAAAACATACACATTAGCTGGAGATCAAGTACATTCTTCCAAAGCAAAAAACAAAGCAAAACTCAGAGTGTTTTGCAGTGTGACCCTCATAATAATGTTTGCATTAGGCCTGCTGTCTTATTAATATTCATTTATGTTTGCATAAAGTATTTTGCACAAAACCCCCCATACACACCAGGCAAAAAAATCCCATGTGTTGTTATGTATTGCAGACACACACTGACAGAATGGTTCTAACTCCAAGCTAGTGATGGTCTCTGCTGATTTCCTCAGACAGAAACATTTTTTGAAGTTGATCTGTAATTTTAGAGTTTTGGTCTGTTTAGTTAGGGAGGAGACAAGAGCCCCTTGGGAGAAACCTTACTCAAGACTAGAAATCTGTCTAAAAGCTATGACTGAAAAAGAAAAGGTAAAGGGCTGGTCAGGTCTCAGTCAATATGCAGGAATATAGCATCAGGGATATGCAAGGAGAATTAAGAGGTTTTCCTAATTTACTAAGCAGGCAGAGTTTGTTCTTGTTGGTCCATAATAATAATAAAAAGTCATTACCTCTTCCTTCTATCTTCACCTAAAACCAGAATTTCACCTCCCAGACTACAAAATACGCTAAGTGCAAGTAAAAAGCCGTGCTTAGACAGTGGAAGAAGCTCCAGTGTCCTCTGGGCAGGGCTGGCCAGCCACAAGCACACGTTTTCACATTTTTAGGAAGCCAGACAGCCGGCAGCACGCTGCGAGGCTTCAGGAAGAGCCCGCAGTACGTCCCTCTGTTTACCTCAGGTAATCTCTGCGGCAGAGAATGAGATTTGCTTTTGTGTAAAGAGTTGATCCAACCTCTCCAAGACGACAGTCACAGCAGGCACACTTTAGACAGTCTTCATGCCAATACTTATCCAGAGCCTTCAGCAGGTACCGGTCCTTGATCTTTCGGTTGCAGCCGGCGCAGCCCTTCTGCTTCCCTTTGGGTTGTACGGATAGCATCGGCACACCTGCAAGGCAAGCACAGCGCTTCCTTTAGAGGCCATCCCAACAGCCTGGGGAGGGGGCACTGGGGGCAGAGCTGGCAGCAAACACTGCTGCTGCTGCCATTGCAAGGAGCTCACGTTGCATGGAGCTGACAGTCAAAGGAATCCTAACTTCATTTGCTGTCGCGGGCTAAGAGGGAGCGCGACGCTTGCAGGGACGCAGCCCTTTTTTCCTAAGGGTAGGACTGACACAACGCACCAGACTCTTCCTAACCAACATCTTGCAGCAGAATAAACTGGCTGAAATTTCAACATTTATTTTTTCCCCTAATTACCTCACAACAACCCTCCTGTTGGTAATTACCTGCCACAGGCAATTAAAAAGAAGCAGAAGGGCCATCACTGTACGTAACCCCCTGGTCCAGCATCTTGGCTGAATCGAGTTTGAGAGGGAAGGGAGAGGAGTAGGTATAAAAAGATGTGGTATGCCACTGTTTTTTCTCTCCTGTGAATCCTGTGGGTGACAAGAGGTCTGACTGAAAGCCAGAGCAGGCAAGGGGCTGCTCCAAAATAAATTTGATTCAAAAGCCCTTGAGAATAAATTTGATTTAAAAGCCCTTGAGGGCTGCTGAGAATAACCCTGCCAATGCCCCTCTGCCACTAGTGAAGCCACATCCCATAAGCAAAGCAGAGCTTTCCTCCTCCTCTTGTATCACTGGAGAAGGTAGCAAAAAAGCCAGGAGTTTCTTCCTTCCTGGAAAACCCTGCTGGGAGTGCAAAGCAGGCATGAGATAGCTGGGTAGATGCTCTTCTCCAAGCAGCCAGTGCCTGCCATGGTGAGCACTGTGATACCTGCCACCTTTCTCAGTTTAAGAGCCAGGCAGGAAAGGACTTCATGGAATCAATAGGCAAGGTGGAAAAATAAACAAGGATTGTACTGTGGGCAAGGGATAGGACAGGAAATGATCAAAGAATAAATTAACTCAGATGCCAGAATTCCATTTGCTCTAGAGCCTTGACTCAATTTGTTATGATTTTTATTTTTACTGGTGTCAGTCACTACAAATGACAATGCTGGGCCTGTCAACAAGCACACTGTGGGCTTAACCAATGTAGAGATGATGAGAAGGGACACCGGCACAGCAGCAGGTGTCACTGGTTGTATACTCTTACACAAAGTTGCTCCACCCTTTCTGTAGGAAGCGCTGGATGTCCCAGAAAGCAGCAGCTTGATAATAGAATTATTAACAGTCCCTTAACCAGAGAGGACCGAGCCAGTGCCACTGCAGTAAGTGACATTTGCTGCTTTCCTTAAAAGCCAGGGTGACCTGAGAGTGGCTAATGGCGAGCACATGTAAACCCACCACTCCCACAGTAATAATTGCTTTTTCAGAGCCGCGAGCAGACGACAATAGCACTTAGGACACCTCCACACAAACAGCGAGGTATTGATCCATCTGTAATCAAAGTGGTCTCAGCAGCACAGAGACAGGCCAAGTAACATTCAAAAACCCTAAAGGCTTAAAGAACCCTCCTGCCCTCTGCTGCAGCACACTCAAAACTTGTTTGCCAAGTCTCTGCAAGGAAACTTTTGACACCAGTGACAGATCTGCAGTAATTAAGTGAAAACCTGTGTCTGTATTAGACTGCCACATATGCAACCGGCAACGCTCCCAAGAGAAGTTCTACATACAAAGCCACAGAGAAACACACATTTGGAAAGAGGGACAAGACAGGGAAGCATCAGAAGTGGATTATGCTGCAGGTGCCAGAGATCAGACTGCAGAAGTATCGTGTGCCTGGTGAGAGTTCCTTATGAGAACGAGGGAAGTGGTCCTGTGGTTCTGGACACACCTTTGTTTGTTTGGGTTTTTAAAATCCAAAATATATTTCATTAGCAAAAAGAGGCTTCAATTTTCGAGTAATTTCCATGCCCTTCCCGACTCCACTGCAGGAAAACTGCACATTGTGAGAAGAGTCTGCCTTGTTGTGAGGCAGAGAGGGGCGAGCACGTGAATTTGCATTTGCAAGCTGTGTAAGATCAGTAGCAGTGATGAAAGAAAACAGTTCGCACCTATGGAAACTAGGGCCTAGATGTGAGAATTATGTTTTTAGATAGGAGCCCCAGACACCAGCAAGTCATTATTCACCCCCCAAACAGGCTCTCTAAATGTGTACCCTTGGAGGCAGAAGAGGATTTCTCACAGAGAGGGGGGTCATCACACAATTCTTTTGCAGGGTTTGTGTAGATAACACGAGGATCCTGCATCTGGAAAGACACAGATTCCACATAACCAGCGCACCTTAAGAGAGCTGCTGCTTGGGTGAGGTTTGAGATCAGCTCTGTGGTTCAGAAATACAAGATCCTCAGCCAGATGGGGCTTCCCAAGGCCTCACTTGTGAAAGCAGTGCCCTTTCAGAGGTACAGCTGCCCTCACCCAGAGAAAGGATGCCAACGCAGCAGCAGCGTCAAGCACAAGGGCAGCTGTGCAGGGATGAAACCCTGGCTGGACCATTGGGATAAGCTGATTTGGACATTCAGGGCAGGTTAGGAAGGTCTCCTGTGGCAAGCAGGCCTGGATGGCTGAGGGCTGACTGCACGGGCAGTTCTTGTTCCATCTGTGGCCCTGGCAGCCCTCGTTCTCCCCAGCCATCTGAGCTCCTCGCTATTGCAAGAGCACCACTGTCTTATGAGAGGCTTCTGCAAGTAAGGGGAATGTAACACTTTGATTTGCTTCTAATAACTAGTGAAGGAACAGATATAGATATATTTTTAAGCAGTACCTTAAGCAAGGAAAAAAGCTATGTATTTGGTCAGTGTTCAGCAGGGGGCTTTCTAATGAAAAAAGGTACCATTTCAGAGATCATATGATGTTCAAAGCTGCTATTCCCACTCAGATAATAACGAGCAAGGTCAGCCTCTGCTGGTCAGGTTCAGTGTTTTGAAATTACATTTTGGGCTGTGAGGTTTCCCTCCGACATCCCAACCAACCGGTCTGCACAGAGCACACAAGCCACTACAGAAAGTTGCACTGCAATTAGCTGGTGAGTTGACACAGCAGGCAAGGCGTGAAACAAAATTTCAAAAACTGCCAAACTTGATCAGCAAGGGTTCCTCGAGCACTTGCCGTGTCATTTCCAAGCAACAAGAGAGAAGCATCTCAGAAGCTTAACCCTTTTCACGGTCAGAGGCTTGCACAGAGAGGACACAATCAACACCAAACCCTGCTTTCCTCCTCCTGCCTCCCCCTTCCAGCAGACCTGAAGCAGCCTGGGCTCTGCAGGCAGAAGCCAGCTGGAGAACTGCTCTTTCTTTTTTGGTAATTTCCCCACTGCCAAGACTGAGATGAGGCTTCATTCTGCTATGTCCATTTTCCTCCAGTACTTGCCTAAAAATGTCAAGATATCCAGTTCAATATGATAAGGGGCATGTGGTGTCTAACTGGGGCTGACAAGAAACAAAGGGGTCACCTTTGACAAATTCCACATGTGCTCTGTGGAGGAGGATAAGAAAATGAGAAGTGTTGCAGAACTAGAAAAATTAACAGCTGCACGCTCACATATTTAAATACGTGATCACAAGGGAACACTGATTATTGCCAAATTCTGAAAGTACCATCAAGTTGCTCTCTCCTCTCCTGTTGCTAGACATCCAGTGCTCTCTTTTCTTAGAAACAGTAGATGAATCCTTTCTATTTCTGGCTACCTACACTCCCTTCTTTGCCCTTTACAACTTAATAGACTTGCTGCTGGTAAATACAAAACTAAACCCGCTCTGAGTGCTCAGAGCTCCAATACACATTAAAAAATTATAGACACCACCTCTGGACATACTGAAATTTATGTCTGTGTCTAAAGAGGCTGTTATTGTAGTGAGTAATCCAAACTTTACCACTATTCGCAGCCGGACAAACAAGCTTTAATCAGCCCGTATCTGCTCAGTCGGGGTCTTTCTGTAAAATGATTCAGCTGGCTTTATAACACAAGTGTCCACTAAGTACACCTCTAAATTTTTCCAAGGCATTTTACTGATATTTCTATTCACATGGCAATCAGCTGTGGTTCCTCTAAGGGCACTGCTCATAAAGCCTCCTTTCCAAGAGAGCCTGGGAACTTTTCATAAATGGCAGACCTTTTAAATAACAGTTATCTGCACTGGTCCTACGGCGCACGGCTCCACAGTGCTCTGGTCTGCAAGAGAGCTAGAGGTCCCCTCTGAAAGCAGGGAAGTTCACCACCTAATTTCTCTAATGCAACTCTAAAGGTTAATTGGTCTGAAAGAGTAATGGGGGACTGCTAGCTAATGATATATGCCTCAAGGCTTTGCAGCTTGCCTGTATTTTATACAGTCGAGTCCAGAGCATAAAACACAGGTGATATCACCAGGACTTTCCAGGCCCCCCCTCCACTCCAGCTTGTCCCCCTCAGCTACATCCACTTGTGTGGGGAGCAGGCAGCAGGAGCTGCAGGCAGCTCTGCTCCACCTGCATTTCATGCATTATTAGAGAAGTGCCGCCGCTGCACTCCTCATTACCGCTGTGGAGAACTAAAAACAGCCCTAATGAGGAGAGCCAGAGCGTACAGTACGGGCTGGGAGGAGGGACGTCCTCCCACTCTCCCCAAGGAATCCGGCCAAAATCTTCAATTTGCCATTTATGACAGCTAATTAGTTATTCTATTCAAAATCTTTGCTTTAAATAAAAGAACTAATTATACACAAAGGTCAGTCCCCCACCTCCTGTGAAGCACACATAATTGGCTTATTTCCCCAACATTGTGTGTATGTTTTACACAATGCTTTCAGGCAGATGGCTTTAACTCTTTCCCTAGACAAGTTTTTTGGTGTTGGCTTTTTAGTTGTTGTTGGGGCTTTTGTTTGTGGCTTTTCTTGTTGTTGTTGTTGCTGTTATTTTGTTTTTCTTTTTTTAAAACCCCAAAACTTTTCCTCAGAGTAGCTACTTCAAGAGCAAAAGCTTGCTCAGCAACGAAGCTATGCGCACACACAATACTTCTGCTCTCCAAAA